ATATTTCCCTTTCAAAAATGCAGAAACATAAACGATCTGCTTTGTTGTCAGTGTTAAAAAGTATTGGTGTTGTTCAACACTAATATTGTCTGCTAGGTGCTGGAAACAAACAGAAAATAATGAGTGCATAATTTCTATACAGTCTGAAGGTCTTGTAGCTATTTTGCATTTGGAGTCATGTGAAGTGGATGTAAGCAGTGCTAAGCTGAAGAAATCTCCTTAGAAGAAGAACAACGTTAGGTGTAACTCAAAGATCTGTAAAGAACGAAGCCTCCAGCATCTTGTCACCCTGTCAGAATAGAGAGAATGTGTGCCTTATTCAGTGTGTGAAACTTTGAGTCTTTTTAATGGCTTCATGGGTGACCTCAAGTATAAAACATTATGTGAGACTAAATCTTGTAATAAATGTATTTTTCTGTAGATGCCACAAATCTTTGGTGGCAGGAAGCAGTTGTTAAAGAGTAAAAAAAAAACAACTAATCTTACAGAACCCAATATACTGCTGCAGCAAACAAACAAACAAAAACAACAAATATCTTAAAAGGCAGTGAGAAAGCCTTAACGAACAAAACAGAGAAAAGTTCAACAAAAGCAATGGTTGAGGCACAAAACAAAAGATACCAAGTTGAAAACAATATATACAGGGAGGGCAATCAACTACATATAGAGCAGGTGTGATCGTTACCAAACTAGAATGTGGTGTGAAAAAAAATCCCAGGGCAGGAACTCCACAGGTCAAGAGAAAAACAATTCAAACAAAACTAACAGACTTCATAAATCATACAAATAAGAGCCTGATTATTGTGAAAGAAACACATTTTATTTGCAGAGGTGTATAGTAACAAAGTACATTTACTTTGATACAATAATTAAGCTACTTTTTTGAGAATCTGTAATTTTGCAAAGTATTTTTAAATAGTAACTTATTTTTACATTGCTACATTCAAAACATATATATATATATATATATATATATANATATATTACTTCTTTACTTTAAAACCCAACCCTTTGTTGCTCGCTACAAATTAAAATATTACCTAAACTCATCATGAAAGAAGTTGTCTATGCACTCTAAGAGAACAGTATGTTGAATTTACTTAACTAAGTTACATCAACTGGTTTCACTGAGCAAACTAAGTAAAGTACAATTACCCAACTCACTTTAGTGGAACCAGTGACATAATTTAGTTAAGTAAATTCAACACTTAATTTCTTAGAGTTTAAACATACTTTTACTTTCCTGGTTATTGTGAGCAGTTTATTATGCTTACTTACCATAAGTACTCATCTTATCAGTAAAAGTACTTTTTTCCTAAGTAATTATCTGTGTTCTTTTACTTAGTTGTTTTTTCAAGTACGTAATACTGTACACCTCTGAAAAAAACAACAACAACCAAACAAATAAAAAACTAAACAGAGCACTAAATTTAAAGAAAAAAAAGCAAACACTGCACATAAAAGCAAAATTCCATCTACCCTACAGTGCATACAGACCTGGTAGGAAGGAAATAAAAATCTTATTTGAGGTTTACCAAGCCCACCTGTAAAATAACCATGGAGAGAAGCTTCTGAGCAGTTCTTACCTTAAATTAGCTTTGCTTGTGTGAACGTTTCAGTCTGTTAACTCTCAGAGTATGTTTTGCAAAATTTGACAGCTGCAAGAAAGCTTCATATTCTGGGAGTGAAGAGTTCATTTAGGTTGAGTAGAACTAAGACACCTGTCAGATAAGACGGTAGTTAGACATGAGGAGTTTTGTACGTGACAAGAGGATATTTCATTTCAATATACATCTTAGAGTCTTGAGAAATGTGACCCATTTTAGCAGTACTCTGCCTGCAGCTTTTTGGATCAGATGAATGAGTTTTAGGAATTTTGGTGGACACCTAGCTAAACTGATACTGCATTATTCAGGCCAAGAATTTAGATATGCATGGACTGGCTTAAAGATAAGAAAAAAATATACTTCTGAGTTATAAATCACAGATGGAATAAATGTGATTTTAGAGACCTGTTTAATATGTGAATATAAAAAAAAAAAAAACGTGTTTAAAATAGTTGATTCAGTAGTACTGAAGGTCAACTAAGGGCAACCAGGGTGACCAAAGCACAATCTAAAATATTTGGGGTAATAAAAATGACTTCTGTTTCACTTGAATTCAAAAGTATAAAATATAAGAATTGTTTTCAAGACAAACCCTTAATTTATTGTATAAAACAACCCTTTAAAGATTCCAAGGTTTCAGCAACTACAATAAATTAAGCAGTCAGAAAGAAGTGAAAGAATGGTTAAGGCACTTAACATGAACAGAGCACAGCGATGTTTGATAAAAAAAGGGGCAGAGGAGGACAAGAACATTGCTCTGAGATGTGTGGCATTGACTTTATAAAAAGCTTATAAAACATTGTTTTGATTTAATAATATATATCAAATTAAATCTGCATGATTTTTTTTTTCTTGAGCAGTTGGTAGAAAATGTGCAGGAAGTCCCAAAAATTCATGTTACAGCTCTGTGGTGTTGTGATGATGGAAATGATAACTTCCATCCATCCATCCATCCATCCATCCATCCATCCATCCATCCATCCATCCATCCATCCATCCATCCATCCATCCATCTCATATACCTAGCACCTACTGTATGTAGCACAAGAAAACAACATTATAAATCCTTTATGTTCACACTATCCTTGGAGTATTATGACCAGTAGAAGACCAAAGTCAATGGCTACCATCTTAAAATAACTTCAGTCTTACTAAGTTCACTATGTTTAATGTGAAGTCTATTACAAACCTTCACACAGCTGTCGGTTTTTCATCACACAGTTGTTCACATTCATTTCTATGTGGTTTTAAAGTGCAAGTAATGACAACAGCAAGCTGTGGCACCTCTTATGAAAGACTAAGACACGTTCAACATTTCTGTCACAATAACCACGTCAATCAGTAACAAAAAAATATTGAAAAATGATTGCATGAAGTGCTCTAAAAGTTTTGAGTTTAAAATTGTTCGAGACAGAAAAACATTAACCAAGTAAATGTGTTTACACACCGAACTTGCACTCCTTTAACTGTGAAATACGGGGGTGGCAGCATCGTCTTGTGGGGGTGTTTTGCCCTGGAGGAACTAGCGCACTCCACAAAATGGCATTTTAAGGAAAGGCATTACGTAAAAATATACAGAAGCAACTAAAGTGGTTTAAAGCTTGGGTACATGGGTTTTCCAAATGGTCAAAGAGTCTGATTAGTTACAAAGTGGTTTAAGGACAACAAATTAAGATTACTAAAATACAATAATTCTCTGTGTTCAGACATTTGATAAAAAATAATTATTTAGGAAATCTTAACTGACCTAAAACAGGAACTGTTTAGTCTGTTTTAATGTTTACAGTAAGACAATAATGTTTTTCTGTCTTTTTATACAGGATATGTCATCAGATAGTAAAACGTTTCTAAAACAAATTGTTAACAGACAAAATCCTTTTTTGCCTGTGCTTCCCATGATGACAATAAGTGCATCTT